ACACAAACTGATACTACATTCCATTCTTTTTGGAAAAGCATGGTGAAATCCTGAGTTGCCAGATAAATGTTATTCAAATGAGGAGGCCGTGCATGAACAATAGCTCGATATGCATTTCTTCGTCCATCAGTACTCTGAGGAAATAAAAGTGGGACGCGAATTAAACCAACAACAAAAAGGATTGGTTTACAGGAGGTTCATTAGGGTTAGAAACTGTAAGGATATAGACAGTGGCTAGGATTATGCCATCTGTCCAAAGGTTGTGAAACTTAGTTAGATAGTTAGTTAGACAATTAGTCTTTCATATAAGTACATCGGTGTAATTACTTTGACACTAAGAAAGATCAATATTACAACTTCTCTCTCTAAAATCTCTCTCTCTCTCTCTCTATTTCTTGAACTCTAATCTTCTCCTTCGATCTTCCTCTTTCTACATTAACATGGTATCAATCGCCGTTGTTGCTTGCGCTGTGTTCGTCGATCCTTCGACTGCTTCCACTCATCTTCTTGATTTGTGATTTGTTTTTCTTTTGTTGATCGTGTATTGCTGTGTTCTTAGTCAATTTCTGGTATTCTCTTACTCTGTATTTTCTCGGTCTTCTACACTTCCCGACTGCTTTCGTTCTGTGTCTATTAGTTTGTGCACACCAGGTGTTTGTGATATTGCTTCTCTCACATTTCTATCTCCATTCTGCAAATATGGTTACTGCAACTCAATTACAAATTCTCCAATCGCCTATTACTGGTCTTATTTCTACAATTTCTACATCTGTGAATGTGAAGCTTGATGAGTCTAATTACTTGATTGGCATTTCCAAATGCAAATGCTACTTGAGGGACACGGGATCATGAAGTTTGTTGATGGCTCTACTCTCTGTCCATCTCGATATGTTATGTGTTCTGGTGTTGATGCTTCAAATTCGTCCACTCTTTCTGAGAATGAAGACTACATTGTTTGGAAGATGCATGATCGGGCTCTTATGCAGTTGATTACTGCAACTCTGTCACTGGTTGCGATTTCTTGTGCTATTGGAAGTACAAGTGCTTGTGATCTTTGGACCCGGTTAAAGGAACAATTCTCTGTTATCTCTCGGACTAGTGTTTTTCAACTCAAGTCGAATCTTCAAACAATCAAGAAAGGGATTGATACTGTATCTCAATATCTGCAACGGATTAAGGAAGCTCAAGACTACTTGTCCGCAGCTGGAGTTGCTTTTGCAGATGAGGATATTGTTATCCTTGCTCTCAATGGATTACCTCCCGAGTATTATACGTTTCGTAGTGTTATAAGGGGTCGTGAGAAAGTAATCTCTCTTCAAGAATTTAGGGTGTAACTTCTTGCTGAAGAACTGATTGTGGACAGTACTGCTAATTCTCAGTTTTTGTCTGCCATGGTGGCTAATACCCCTGGCCCTAAATCCCATCAATCTGTTGGTGATCATCCGGGGTTTTCAGGTCCTCATCCTGGTTCTGCTGGTGGATATCGATCTTTTCATTTCCCTAAGAAGGGTAAAAGCAAAACTAATCAGGGATATAGGTATTCTAATCCTAGTCCCAGACAGCAGTTTCCCAATCGAGGTTCTCCTTCAGCACTTGTTTTCTCTGGAGTGCTTGGACCTTCTCCTTTACAGTCTGTTGGTTCCTCTTTCCAGCAAGTCCCTTGTCAATTATGTAATCAGTTTGGCCACACTGCTCCATTTTGTCATTCAAAACAGTTAGAACGACAAGGCTGCCACATTTGTGGCAAGACAAATCATACTACCTGGTATTGTTTCTTCAATGATAAAGGTCCCAACTTTGGTGGTCCACACTACTCTCCAATGCCTCCTAGTGCATATACTCCTTCAACACCACATTTCTCTCCTCAATCCAATATCCAGGCTCTACACACAGTGTCTTCTCAATCTTCTTCAGCCCCTGCATCACAAATTTGGCTTACTGATTCAGGGGCTACAAACCATATGACTGCTAATTTCAGTAATTTGTCCATGGTAACTCCTTATCCCTCTAATGAGACAGTGCAAACAGCTAATGGTGAAGGTTTGCAAATTTCACATATTGGTAGTTCCATCATTCCTACACCTATGCATCCACTAAAATTGAATTCCATCCTCTATGTGCCTCGGCTATCTCACAATTTGTTATCAGTTCATCGCATTTGTCTTGATAATAATTGTTGGTTAGTCAGGACCGTGTAGTAATGGACTATACCCCATTCCATCACTTTCCAATCATCAACCATTTCCATCTCCAGGCAATTCTAAAGCTTCTGCATTACTTGGACAGCTTGTTAGCTCTAATCTTTGGCACAGTAGGTTAGGGCATCCTTCAAATACCATTGCTTCTATCATGCTTACTAAGTCTCATATCTCTTGTACAAAGGACATTGTTCCTAGGCTATGTCATAGTTGTTTAGAGGCAAATTTACTAAATTGTCGTTTCAGTCTAGTGTGCACAACTATGTAATTCCTTTCGAAACTATACACAGTGACCTTTGGGGTCCTTCTCCATGTAATTCCATTGATGGTTACAAGTATTATGTAACTCTCATTGATGAGTGCACTAGATATTGTTGGTTGTTTCCTCTTGTCAATAAATCAGATTTCTTTGACATCTTTGTTGCCTTCTCCTCCTTTGTGCAAACCCAATTTTCTACTTGTATTAAAATTTTACAAACTGATGGTGGTGGTGAATATTGTAACAATAAACTTCAAACTTTTCTTACCAATAAAGGTATCCTTCACCATAAATCATGTTCCCATACTCCCAAACAAAATGGTTTGGCCGAGCGAAAACATAGACACGTTGTTGAAACCACTGTCACATTGTTACAATCTGCCCAATTACCCTCTTCTTTATGGACCTTTGCTTGTCAAGCTGCTGTATATCTCATAAATCGAATGCCTACACCAGTGTTGAATAATTGTTCACCTTTTGAAATACTATTTAGCACTCCTCCTATTTTGACACATCTTAAGGTGTTTGGGTGTTCCTGCTTTCCTCTATTAAGACCTTATGTTCAGACCAAGTTGCAAACCAAAACTACAAAGTGTGTCTTTCTTGGGTATGCCTCAAAGTATAAAGGATTCATTTGTTTTGATGTGTTAAAAGGTCGGTTCTACATTTCTAGACACGTTGTGTTTGATGAGACTAGATTTCCCTACCCTCACTTGTCTGCATTGTCTAAGCACAAACCTGTGACATCCTCTTCTTCTCAGTCCTGGTCATCACTTTCAGTTTCTAATATGAATAATATCTTAGTTTCATCTCCACCCCACTCACCCCAATCACCTCTACCATCCACCTCTCCACTTAATGACATATTGTCTTCTCCATCAGTTTCAACAGCTAGCCATTCTTCTCAGTCCATTAATGCTCCTGCAAGTTCTCCTTCTCACCTCCCTGTGGACTCTGATTTTAGTCCGAATTTACTTCAAGTGGTGTTACCACTTGCTCCACTTAATATACATCCTATGCAAACTAGAAGTAAGAATGACATCATCAAGAAGAAGGCATTTTTCACTCAAGTGACTGAATCTCATGATGTGGATTTAACTTTGGTGGAACCTGCCACATATAAATATGCAATGAAGGTCCCTGTTTGGTATAAAGCGATGCAGGAAGAGGTTGATGCATTGCATAAACAACATACTTGGAGTCTTGTACATTTGCCTCCTCACAAGAACCTTGTTGGTTGTAAGTGGGTTTTCAAACTCAAAAAGAACTCAGATGGGACAGTGGCTAGACATAAGGCTCGCCTTGTTGCTAAGGGGTTTAGTCAAGAGCCTGGATTGGACTATGGTGAAACATTTAGTCTCGTGGTTAAACCAACCATTGTGAGGATAGTTCTAGCCTTGGCTGCTCACTTCAATTGGACTCTTCGTCAATTGGATGTCAAGAATGCTTTTTTGCATGGTTTGTTAAATGAAGAAGTGTACATGTCTCAACCTCCTGGTTTTGAAGATCCGGCACATCTTGAATTGGTTTGTCGTTTACACAAGTCACTCTATGGATTGAAACAGGCCCCTAGAGCCTGGAATGAACGATTTACAAGTTTTCTTCCCACTCTTGGGTTTCAGTCCACATATGTTGATTCTTCCTTATTTTTTAAGATTGTTGGTAGTGACATTGTGGTACTCCTCCACTATGTCGATGATATTATTCTTACTGGCAGCTCTCATTTAGGTATTCAACAAGTGATCCACTCGTTAACCTCTGAATTTGACATCAAGGACTTGGGGGAGCTTCATTATTTTTTGGGCATTCAGGTTCTCAAAACTGCTACGGGACTATTCTTGTCTCAGTCCAAATATATACTGGATTTGTTGCAGAAAGTTGAGATGGTTGACTGTAAGCCTTGTGACACTCCATGCTTACCCTACAATCGGTTGGTTAAAGATGATGGCACTCCCTATAATAATCCAACTGCATACCGGAGTATTGTTGACGCCCTTCAATACCTCACTTTCACTCGCCCGGACATTGCCTTCTTCGTTCATCAAGTCTGTCAGTTCATGCAATCTCCAATGTTGTCCCATTTTACAGTTGTCAAGAGGATTTTGAGGTATCTTAAGGGCACATTATCTGATGGCATGTCTTATACTCGCGGGGATTTACTACTGAAAGCATTTAGTGATGCCGATTGGGCTGGTGATCCCAATGATCGCCGTTCAACTACTGGTTTGGTTGTCTTCTTGGGAAATAACCCTATTTCCTGGTCCTCCAAGAAACAACACACTGTTTCTCGTTCCTCAACAGAAGCAGAATACAGGGCTATGTCTACTACCTCAGCTGAGCTTGATTGGATTCAGCAACTGCTGGGATTTCTGCATGTCCAGCCTGCTCATCCTCCAGTTCTCTTTTGTGACAATCTTTCAGTCTCATTGTTTCAACCTCATGCTAGGATCATCCCCTCATGAGTTTGCGGGGGCATGTAAGGATATAGACAGTGGCTAGGATTATGCCATATGTCCAAAGGTTGTGAAACTTAGTTAGATAGTTAGTTAGACAGTTAGTCTTTCATATAAGTACATCGGTGTAATTACTTTGACACTAAGAAAGATCAATATTACAACTTCTCTCTCTAAAATCTCTCTCTCTCTATTTCTTGAACTCTGATCTTCTCCTTCGATCTTCCTCTTTCTACATTAACAGAAACAACCAAAATGCCTCCAATTATGATAGTAAAAACAAGGAGAAATTAGATTCTCATCCTTCCTTTTGCTATTCCATTGATTAAAATCATATTCATTTTCAATTTTTTATCAAGGTCCTTGGGTATTAATAACATCATTAATTATTTCAATAATAAAATATTTTTTTATTTCTAAATATATTCATTTAATGTTAAAAATGTTACAATTAGTATATATATATTTATGACTAAATTTTTTATCATATATTTTTAGTTTTAGTTTGTACCCATTTTTAATTTGTAATTCTTTTTTAATATATACCAATTTTCTTTTCAGTTTTAATTTGTACCCATATATTAATTTCTTTTTGTGCCCATATTTTTTAAAGTTTATTTGTATTTGTACCCATATATTTTTTTTATTTGTACGTTTTATTTTGCTAAATGTACCCATGCTAATTATATGTACCCATTCATGTAAAACTTTTTAATCTTAAAAAGTACTCATTCTTAAAGATACTAATTTGTTATATGTAAAATGTACCTTTTTTTTTAATATAAAATCTATTCAATTTTTTTAATCTATTTTTAAACTTATATGGATACATTCTTTTTTCTTTGATTTTAAAATGTATCCATGTCAAGTTTAATCAAAGAAATTTACTAATGTTATTAAGCATAATAACTTCTTTTTTTTGTGATTTTGAAGAATGTACCCATATTTTGATACAATAATTTTTTTGGTTAATTTTGATGAATGTACCCATGTTTATATACACACACACACACTAGTATATTTATATTTTAATATTTTTAATCCCACAAATTATGATTTTTCATTTAAAATCTCATTTATATAAAAAACTAAAATTTCTAATTTTTAATTTAAAAAATATACTAACATACATAGAAATAAATTATCACTTTGATTTCAGGAACCTCGATAAAAAATTAAAAACCAACAAGGTTTCAATCAAAGAATATTCATAGTTAAGGACTGCATCCAAAGTCTCCCTAAAAACAAAGATAAAATCTGAAGTGACATATTGCCATAGAGTTACCCCAAAATCAAAGAAGAAATTTGAACGGTCAACCATAAGCAGCTCCAGAGCACTTCGTCTAAGGAGATATCTGTGACAACAAAAAAACAATGAAGGAAAGAAACAAGATAAGAAATACTCATCATTCATGTCAATTTAAACTACATTGATACTCATTCAAATCAACTATGACATCACCTTCGGCTGTATATTTGATGAAGGGACGACATCGTCCAACTGCGATCCTTTTCTTCGTCTCTCACTTCGATGCAATCTGATCCATCCACTGCATCATTGACCTCACTGTTATCAATTATAAAATTTATTCTCCTACTTGTCACCTCAAAGACGACAGCCAAAACTAATTAGCACATATCAATATACAAGATTAAGCCAAAGCACTGAAGAATATAAAGTCTCAGTAACTAATTCTGATACATTAGAACGACAACAAGCATAATGTCCTAATTTAGGAAACAGAATTGTCCAGCATCACACTTTTTATTTAAAAAAGAAGAAATTTATTTCAAACAAAAAAGTGTACAGGAAGTAATCCACCATCAAAGTTATTTTGTGGGAAACAAGTAACAAGTAAAAGACTCAGAGTGAAATGTTAGACCATGAAGAACGAAAGATTGATAGGTTCTTCAGTTCACTAACCCAAATTATACAAGTACTGCTAACATTTTCCAACTGAGGACCTGATTTGGAGTGTAAGTAAATATTCAAGAGCATAAATGGCCATCTCACACTGAATAGGACAACACTACTCACCCTTAAACACAACTCCACGAAATATGATTGAACTTTAAAAATATGAATACAACTTGGAATCTCCATGAGATATGCTTACATGTCCAAGCAACTCATGATAAACTAAAAGGAAGATCGACTGGTTCTAAACCAAGCAATAAGTACTTTCCAAGATAGGATGCTCAAGCTTCTTTCAATGATAAATTATAGAAAAGGCAGTAACCATTAGAGAAAGTAGACCCATAGATCTTACGTTTATCTGAATATTCAGATGAAATGAAACATTTGTCAAATTAGTTTTGTGCTTTGCCCATCAGAGTTAGCGGGAAACACTAAAAGATTTTGTTCAACTGAAAGATTACGATTACAGATATGAAAAAAAAAAAAAAACACTAAGACATTGAGTGCATACAAAAGGATGTCAGAGCCTAGGCTTTTAGACTTGCCTGGAAAGTTCCGCATATGACCTCAATGGTAGAACCATCAATGAAGGAAGTTCAAGAACAATTCTTTCATCAAGTACACTCGGAACATATCCAGGCGCAACTGCTGATGAACTTTCTCCTAAGTCTGGTTCACAAGAAACTTGTGCCTTGCCAAATTCTGCAGTTGTCTGCAGGCTTTGGTCAGCTGTTTCAGACAGATGTGGCTGATTCTCCCCACTTTGTTCTTCACTAGAGGTTCTGCCATCCAAATTATCAATTTCCCCTTGTTCATCATCTTCATTTACAGCTTCCACAGTTACTGCTTTTGCTGCCAGAATAGGAGCATTCGAGGAATGTATGCCATTTTCTTGTTCTTTCATCTTATTATGATCCTTGAAATTGGCATCAGCACCAAAATGATCAGAACCCTTGTAATTCCTCCGTACACATTGTCTCATCCTAGCTGAACTTTCCATAAAATCTAGCTTCCAAAAAACCTACAAAACAGTTATAAAATCTTTAGAAAATATAGTCCTAGATAAACCCTAGAAGATACAAAAGAGTGCACATTGCACGAGCAACAAATATATCAAATATAAAAGAATAAATTATTAAAATATAATATCAGTCAGAAAATCGAACCACTGTTCCAACAGGAACACGAGAAACAGATACGAATGAAACAAAATTTGGAAATCCGGTAAAACAAAAGTAGTTATCTCAAAACAATGAAACATACGGGTGCAGGCTTGCATAACTGGTCTCCAGATGGGTAGAAAAGACATTTCGTCTCGATCAAGCAATGCATGAGTTTGCACCACGAACGAACTCCATTGTCCAAACGATGACGGGTTATTAAATCGACTTGAGAGCGTCTGTCAACCTGGAAAGCAAGAAAAGAAAACAAATCAGATATCCTACCTCAATATGTAAAAGAATCTATGAGGACAAGAACTGGTGAAACCTCAGATCTTTGGATGTTTCTTGCTAAAGCAAAACTTGCAACAAGGACAGCAATAAACTTATACGATATCGCATTAAAATCTTTTCCGTAGACAGATTTCGTATCAACTGGCTGCAAACATTCCATCCAGGCAACTCCCATTGCTTCAGAAACATTCCATCTCTTCACCCGGTCCATGTCACTACCACTTCTCCGCTGTGCAGATGTGGCCATTGCTACAGCACCGAGACCACTCCCAGAACCAATTTTGGCATTACGTTCAAGATCACGAACTGCAGCCAAGGCAGCAGCTTTGTCCTTGGGTAGAGCCGGTAATTTGTTAGGCAGCTCCAAAGGTTTCTGAAAACTCAAAAATGTGTGAAGCTTAGTAGTTTTGCGCTCGAGCAATGAGGAGTCACGCCTAAGATGAGAAGTTGTTGTAGGAGCCGGAGTTTCTCCACCAGAGGCACCAGCAGCTATCATTGCCAGTGCCATTGCAGCAGGCGGTGGTGCAAAAGCAGCAGCCCAAGCTGGAGATATCAGAGCAAGAGCAGCCTGAAAGAAATACGGTCGAAATGTATCAAATAGTGAAGTAATAGATTTGAAGACAATGGACTCCACGAAAAAGCGGATAGTTTCAGTTCCAAAGAGACATTAAAATGGTCACAATAAGCCAATGATGAGGTCCACAAAGAGAGATTAAAATATGAGAGTTGCAAGAAGAAAACACCGAAAGTGCAGCCCTCCCCCAACATTAAAATTCAACCACCAAATTCTAAGTGCCTGAAAAAATTAATCAAGTCTACACAGAAATTGATATTAATTAGACAAACCTCTATTGGCAGGGCATCAGCAGCCAATGCACTGTTTCAACCGTAAGGGTTCAAACCATCAGCAGTTGCTAGTTCGTGAATGCGAGCCAAAAGTGGCCGCCACCTCAAAACAGCAACAAATGGTGCTACAATGCCCTCAAGGTACTGTTTACGGAGAGGCTTTCTATCCCTGCCAACAGCATGATACAACTGCAAGAACGAGGAAACAATAAATGTATCAGAAACGAATAATAACTGGTAAACAAGACAACCATAAAACCAGCTTTTCAAAGAGTGGAAGGAAAGCAATATCAAGACTCTATGATAGTGTGAAAGTCAATTAAAGTTAAAAATTGGTAAGTGCATAAGCTAACAGGTAACATGCAATACAATTTACAATTCACTCTAACATCGCAAAAACTGAAAGCAAACTTAACTCAGAATAAAGAACACAGGAAGCAACCAACACTCTCTGTCTCTTGGAATCTGAAATCGCCATGTTCAGAACAGGGGAAAGCACACAGCAAATTAATAACATGAATTAGTTGTAATGCCAAATTTCGACAAACATGCACATAATAAACATATGAATGCAGAAACATAAAGAACATGAGGAAACAAACAATAGGATGTAGCCACATATGTAACAGTAAGTTTTACCAAACATATGTAATAGTAAGTTAAACAGCCTCCTTAAAGTTTCCTTTTCACAACTCATGCTTTTGAGTTCTAAACATGAAGCTAGAGTAGTTGCATGTGGATTTTGGTTTATGAAACTAGTTCAAGACCCACCAAGGGTCCATGATTTACAGGGTCATGGAAGTTTCGTAACAGACCATTAGAGGACAATTTATTCAGAGCAATGCTTAACTCTGACTGGTTACTACCCATTATCTCGGGTGTGTGTTATTTAGAAGAATGTTACCTTTAAAAGTAGCACGTAACAAATGTAATCGTTATCCAAGAATAAAATTTCAGTCCATTTTACGGCCAGGAACCAGCAATTTGATAGAAACCATGGATTCCACTCTTGATTCCTATCAAAGTTTCATAGTCATTTTACCATCTAAGTTTTAAAGAATAAATAAACATAATAAGTTCTGGTTAAATCACCTCCACAACAATGCTGAGCGTGGTTGCCTCCCTTCTGATTTCCCATCATCTATGGTTACATTCCTCATAAGCAGATTGTCTTCACCATCATCTTCTTCCCTCATTGAAAGAAGAGCCATTCGGAGCATGCATAAAAATGGTTGGTCACTGTCCAATAACTGGTAGAGTGCTGCCATCCCTCCCATTCCAGTACCCGATCCACCTCCTATGCCAAGTCCACCACCAAGTCCCAAATCGTCTAATAATAACGCTTGGAGCATTGCAACAGACTTTTTTACCAAATGAAGCTCAATCCAGTTTCCATTTGCATCCTTCTCCAGTGCAGACATCCAAGATTCCCGACCACTGCCACCACCACCAAAGGCTGCTGTAGTTGAAGGATGACCAACACCATACCACAATCTGCTCCTATACTTCCACCCCAGAGCTAAATCCATAACACAGCTTCCATAGGATACAAAAGCACAGGAAACAGACCCATAAGGCTCAGCTGCTGCTGCAGCAGTAAGACGTTCCATCACTGCTGCAGATATTTGACCATTCGCATCAGCCATTGACGCAGGAAGCTGATGAAAATCTTACAAGCGTAAGCCCCAATAAAGATATTATTGAATGAGAAAAAACAACAAACAACAAGAAATACAAAAGTCAATTTAAAATGATAAATTAGCAAAGAAGATGGAATTTTAACGAACAACTATAAGATATTAACTACGAATACGCAGCAGAAAGAAAAGAGGAGGAAAAAAAAATACACAACTAAACCAAAAGGTACAAGAGGCGCAGTTGCTCAGAGTATGATTATGACAACCGAGGTAAAGGCAACAACATATTGACATGTTTTTTGTTTCTTTTATTTATGAGGGTGGGGTAGAAAATAAACCCTATAAATGGACAACTAAATGGAAAATATAATGTATGGAGAAATATTATAAACAAATGCTGTCAACATACATCAAGAGGAAGTCCAGAATCACTAGACAACGACTTGCGATCCCGAAGCTCCAACGGAATCTTCCACAACTGTACTAAGAGAATTTGAGTGGTTATTCATGGGAGACACAAGAGAAAGGGGAGATGGAGAACTATCTGGTGCACGTGAAGCACAAGATAGTTTGCTCTGCAACCATAAATGATCCTCGACAAGCATTAGAATGACAATTGAATTCTCTACCAAAGCCACAGAAAGCTGAGCAGCATTCTCTGCTTCTGCCTTAGCATCGCTTGGTGATAAACCCTCCGCTGCCACATTAGCAGATGCTGCAGCAATAACTTGAGTCTGGTGTGAAAAGAAAAGCTTGATGTAGATATATTGGTTTTATTTTTCAACTTTAGAATAAAAAAATAGCATATAGTTATTTTCTTACAAGTAAAGCATTAACTAAAAGTGCAAAATGCGATACAACCCTAGTACATGAGAAGTAATAAGGATAACAGAGAGAGAGAGAGAGAGAGTGGTTCCAATGAATTTCATTAAAAAAAATGAAAATTGGAGCCCAAAGAGGACGCAAAAGGTAAAAGAATAAAATACGAAGGATACCTGCACCTGGAGCTCTCTAGCAGCAAACCACCTAAAAGCCTCCTTTTAAATATGGGCAACGATTCTTCACGTCTTTCAAAAATAAAAGTAACCACCGGTTTAGGTAACCAATAAACCATTAGGATTCCAATGTGAGAAAAAACCACTAACTGTTATCATTCTTTGTTTTCAATTCAGACGCAAGTTCTTCTTTTTCATGAAAAACAAGATTTTTTTTAAAAGAGCTGAAAAAGCATGTTGTCCTGTTTAAACAGAAAAGCATGTTGTCGAGTTTGGAGAAAAAGTACAAGTGTACAACAGCAATTGAAAGACTTATTTCATGAAACTTGACATCATTCACATTGCTAGAAAACTTCACATAGGTTTAGCCAGAGATAACACAATACCTAACTCGTTGGTCTCCAGTGCTTGAGCCACCCACAATGGAAAGCCACTCTGCACAATGAATTGTAGCTTCAATATCCTGTAGAGGGGAAGTGATCACAACATGAATGGGACTGATCAATTGGAGTAAAACTGATTCTAAACATCACCAGACTTAGCCTACATTGCTATAAGCCCAGGAAGGATATAGAGAATGAACAGAACGCGTAAAAATGCTGATATATTGCCCAATCAAATATCTGAATTAGTGAAGTTTAAAAGGTTGGATAACAACATTTCAAATATGGTAAGGCGTTAATAAAGCCCAATCAATCCCATTTGTCAGTCACAAACTTGGGTCGTGCTCGACAAATAATCTGGTGAGTTCAATTGTTTAAATAAGGCTTCTAGTTAGAATGGCGAGAAGTGCAACAAGAAGCAATAAGGACCTAAGACAGGGGATTAATGGACCACTGAACTAGAGTGAGCTGCTAAAGGGCAAAAGCGTGGAGAGGCTAAAATAACACAGAATGAGAAAGAATATGAACTTAAAAGGGTGATAGTAGATCAAACATTTTAAACAAGGTTAAGCACAAAAGATATCAAGTAGAGAGCCTAGAGTAATTTAGGAAAGTGGACACATGTAGCCCTCTTTAGATGAGTATATTTGAGTTCTTAAATTTCCATTTCAGGTATCTAACTTCATATATTACTTCCTTTTTGCAGTATTACTTTTGTGGCCTGAGTCGCAGTCAATCACTTTCAAACATGCAAGTAGGTTGATTAACCAGATCATCAATGTACTTGAAAAGCTAGCATTTCGAAAGATCAGCTTCTCTTAGCTTGAAATCACAGAAACTCAATCATACAAATAAGGAATTCATTTCAACATCTTTCCAAGACACTGACCTAGTATACATGGTTCAGAATCCCACTCCCAGTCAACATTAAGTCAAATGCTGAGAATAACAAGACATGCACAAGAAGCTATAGGAAACAGAGGACTGATATGAGCGAGCAAAAATCTAAAGTTTATATGCAGGACATAAAAATCACCATACACAGAGGCCACTATCATACAAGGTCAACCAAGTTAAATGATGAGAAAAATATATATACACACATAAACCTAACCTTCCAGCCATCCTTCTGGCGCATTGAATGCTCTAACATGATACACAGGAAATTGTGTATGAGGTCCTCTACATCTCCTGAGCTTGCAGAATTAGAATGTTTGCTTGCACCCATCTGTAAAACCAGGTAATACAATAGCGGTGTCATGGAGTTAGGTTATCTTCAAAGACCAATCGATTGAAACAGGTAAGATCACATTTCAGTGAAAAGTTAAACCTTATTACCCTAACTAAATGTCATATTAGTATTACAAAGATTTAATTACAGCCAGAAGGTAGTTTTGGGCTGGCTTAGAAAGTGAGAGATAGTGATCCCGCTTCCTATATTATATTCCACGATGGCTCGAGTCCAAAACCCCCCTTTATTAAAGGAAGAGATGAACCATGACCAAAAAGGCTGCCGATACATATCACTCTATAATTGCAATGCCAGATGTAAATGATAAGAAATTATATCAAGATAATGATAGAAGATACCTCATAGTTAGAGATAAGATCCTCAAGAATCCATTCAGGCCATCCCTCCATCTGTGTTAGACCACTTCTATTTTCTGAATGACTGCAAGCCAAAAACAGAAGATCCTGAAATCATATAGAAAGAAGAATCTCAGAACATGAAAGAACATCGACGAGAAAGGATTCAACAAAGAAACCCATGGAAGCAAGAAATTCAGCGTGCGTAAACAATTCTGGCCTCTTACTACATTAAATTTAAGAAGGCGAAAAACTCTTATTTATGAAAGTTGCATTCCATTTGTTCATACCAATTACCATAGACAGAAACATGGGAACATTAAAAAGTGATACCTGTAGCGCTCGGCTTTGCAAAGCCTTGGATGCATATGGAAGTGAACGCAAGAGAACCAAAAGAAGTTGCATATGTTCAAATTGATGACCAGAATCGTAGAAGTTCAGTCTGTCATCACTTGAAGAGGCATTGATCTGAAGAGAAAAAGAGAACAACTTTGCATGTTAAAATGTATGGCCTTTTCAGTAAGCACAAAATTATAGAATTAAACCAGTCTTCCCCTTGAAAACTACTTTAAGAGGATTTCAACACCAAAAATAAAAAGAATGTGCTTATGGTTTGTACGGAACACTAAAAGTGTACTCAATAATAAAATTAGCGGAAAGTTTAACCATGACAGTAGCAAAAGAATACCATAAGATGATCATAAGACCAAAATGTCAATCAACACCACACGACTAAAGTTCAAGTGCAGCAGAAATGCAAACTACAAATGTTTTGACTCATTCATGAGCCCTGATTTTTCAGCTTAAATTGTATGCTCAAGAAACACCTATGAAGAGGTAAACAGAGCATGAACCATATAATTGGAAAGGAACTTCATAAGATCCTTAGCCACAAAACAAAAATAACAAAGTTTGAATAGAAGGAAAAAATAAAAAATAAAATCTAGGATATAAATATAGTATATCATTAGTAATGAACTCAATTATTACTACTCCCATGTCTGGCCAATGAGTTTTTGCCAATAAATCATATGAAGGGCATGTAGAGATTATTGTTAAGTCACAAAATCGATCTTAGTAAACAAACCCATGACAGCATATGAGCACTGAAACAGAAGAATGTCTTACCGACGCCCCCAACAATGCGGTATACACATTGCTGGTCAGAAGCCTGTTTGGCGCCGCTTGGATAGCCTTTTGTAAAGCAAAAAGTAACAAAGATACTTTATCTTCAAACATGGTACCACCTCCATCATTCAGTGCACTACCTAGAACAGTGTTTGCCATATCCAAGGATGCTCGTGAACCAAATTTCAAATACCCTGATGCAACTACAGCACCTAAGAGACTGATGATGCCAACAAGCACCCCATCACTTTTGTCGATATTGTAAACATTATTCCTTGCATTGTCAGCACCGATGGATAGAGCTATACCACCCAGATTCTTTGTAAAGGTACTTTCTGCAGCAGAAGTCATTCTTCCAATTTTCAAATCAGGGGAAACAGCAACAGGACTGCTACCTCTGCCAGGGGTAGATTCACCAATTTTCTCATGCAAATTGAGTTCATTTCCCTCTGATGGTTCATCATCCTGAACTTGTTCATAAACATCCGTGTTACTATCTGGCTCAGGTCCTTGGACTGAAAAATTTTCGTCCTCCTTGGTCATGGAATCTGGAATAGTATAGTCACCAGCTTTGGCTTCTCGTTGCAGCAAAACTAGAAGGGTCTCTATACCACCAGAATCTATGAATGCCTCTGCAAACATCTGTGCTCTTGATTTATTTGGCTGTACCACTAACCTGTAAATCAGATGCAATACCCTTGCAACCTGGAAGACGAACGCTTTTTAGAGCCATATCAATATGAACTATCAAGCGTGCATTTACAAGAGAGAGATCGTACTTTCTTCACTGACGTCAACTTGCCTTTACCATCAAGAGATATATAAATATATTCTGGTTGAAAACAAAGAGATACATACACACACGATTAACTCTAATGTACTAAACTACAATCTTTCTACATCCTCAGGAGGCAAACTCTGCTAGTGTAATCTATCTTCTTCTCTGACCCAAATTCGATCTTCGACAGGCACAAGAACGGAACTCATTTGCTTAAGTGGGTGATGCAGAAAGTAGGAAATCCGGTTGTAGTCTTTGTAGTAGTATACCACAAAAAGGACACGATGGTTTTAAAGATACGTCTAGCAAAGGCGATGCAGCCAAAGATTTGAAATTCAAAGGAAGATCGGGGGTTGCAAACAAAGTCGCTGGTGCCGGTTTGGAAGCTCGTCTATGACAGCATGTGCAAAACCATGTTGGAGTAGTGGGACAAATCTCCATAGAAATGGAACACCTGACTAGTTTGTGGCCCTTTCCGCTGCAGATGGCAACTTCTGGAGATTCAAATGGAACTGATGCTAAACAATAGCTGCACATCTCTGCTGCTGTGCATTTACTGGACTTAAACCTGTTGTTTGAAGAAGAATACGGAGCAATACTTAGTATATAGTACTTATAGTTTATATAGACAGTTGCATTGCCAATTACGAAAGCAGGAAAACATCAAAGGACAAAAGATGAATACGGTAACAATGATTGCATCAAGAGCATACATGTTGAAACAACAAAAATCAACCTAACAACTTTGTTTTGAATACATGCATCTCTCAGATTATTCAATATCGGACACAGTATTACGGTAGATAAGCCTTTGTGTTTCATCCAAAGTGTAGAACCAGTGTCTAAATAAGCATTATTTTTAACTCCCTCTAATAATCATTTTAACCGCATTCATTTGAGCCTGCTTAAAACTCCCCATATACCATTTGTACCTGCCCTCGAAGTACTATATAACTAATTTGAAATGATCAAAGGTTACTCAAACTGAAATGGAGTTTTAAGTTGTAAAGAGAACTCTCCCCATAGGAAGCCTCATACTTTTGGAAACTTTTCACCGGTCGCTTCAATTCTATTATAATGTGTTTAACTATCTAATCAACTTACTATTCCCGCCATCTGAAATCCAACCACCACCCAGAAACCTCTAACGACCTTAACCGCTAATTGCCCTCTAACCCATTTACCAGCTGTGCTGGCACATCACAAGGAACATCATAACCAGAAAAGGCCATGGTACACTATAGCAAAAACATACCCCGAAATATTGAATTTCAAATTTCCAGCATCCAAATTCAACAGCCAGAGACACTTTAAAGCTTTAAGATACATGGAAAAATTTAACATTTCACTAAATATTCAGTCTTTTAACAATCAAATTAAGAATGGACTGTTATTTTTTATATTTTATGGTCCCACTCCGAATGCGTAATCTTCACTGCACCAAGCCTCAGAGAAGTATATTACATGAAGTTAGTTTCGATGATATAAGAAGTCAAAATGCCAAGACATGGAAAAGCATGGTCCTCGTGATTAAAGTAACAAGAATAAACAATCATATCAATAAAGAGGGTAGACAGATTCCTATGACAAAGGATAAAAGTCAGGGAGTACCTCCTATCCCGCTTTCCAACTTCGGATGCGAGGACCTTTAGCTGACCGTGCACATGATCATGATTAAGCTTAATCCACTGCTCCATTTGTGCTAAGCCAACAGGAAACCACTTTCCAGATGGAGAATTTGGGGCTGAAATAGGCATTTGACTTAAAAGAGCAGAAAATGTAAATCCCACAAGCCTTTCCCGGAGTTCTTTTTCACTGTTCAAAAGCAGATTGATCCACAAAGACCGCTTCTCTTTATCAGCACCAAGTACTCCTTTCAAATTCAGTAATTTACTGTTTATTTCATCAGCCTTCATCTTTGATAGAATCACACGTCTGCAGATTATATTGAGAAGGTGTAATCGGCGAGAAGTAACTATTGAGCAACTTTGGGAGACGTTCAACAAAACCGTTTCAGCAGGAATGCCCGCTTGAGATCCCAAGTATGAAATAGACAGCCACTTAATCAGTACTTCGTCTACAAACTCTGGTTTAGAATGATTGAAAGCCAACAATGCTGTTACAATATCCCAAACAACCAGAGGTTTATCTTGCATTTCATACTGCTTTAAGGACCATAGAAAGTTGGACTCCCAATAAACCAACTCCTCAGAAAAACCAGGAATCGCTTCAATATCAAAATGTAGGGAATTGTTTGGCAAGACATCTACTTGCTGCCCACCAGTCCAGAAAAACTCAACAATGGCCTTTTGAGTCCTGAGAATGTTCGTAAAAATGTAAATTGATCAAGAATTAGCAAACAACAACCGATATGGTAACTCTACATTAGGTTGCTTGTTCTTTTCTATAGAATACATAAATTCTTTTACGTGCTCTTCTGCTTCCTGTAATATCGTTATGTCTTAGGACGGTTGAAGTGGGGATTTTTTATCGGATCAATACTACAATTTGATTAATTCTTGCAAATAAGAAAAACTCACAATTTTATCTTTTCTTTCCTCCATTTCTTTTTCCAAGGAAGCTAAAGGGTTCTTTTTACAATTTGATTCATTCTTGCAAATAAGAAAAACTCATGTTTTTGGTTTGAGTTGCAACGGTGTTGTCCTTTTTTCTTTTGATATCCTTTCATTCCATCTTTAGGATTCGTTCACATTACAATAGTATATAATGTTTAGCCACTCTCAAATTTACCCAAGCCGCAAAAGATGGATCTAATAGAGGAATATAATTAGCATAAAAAATCTCACCTTGCCTCGTACATTGGGTTTAATTGTTCAACATCAGTATTTCGAACCTGCCATTTTCAAGTATAGATATCTTAGTTTATTTTCACTTTTATAGTATGCGAGAATATGTTTGTATTGGCGCAAAGAAAATATCATACCCAAGCAATCACAAGATTTCCAGGGGACACTGCCAGACCAAAGCAAGAAACAAATTCTTCTGGTAACTGCATCAAATTTTAGACTGATGTTATGGTGGAATACAAAAAAATTAAACAAGCATACTTATAGGGTAAGAACTTACATCAGTTGAGTTTCTCAGACGAGGAGTATTTGAAGGAATAGGTACTTCACATAGAGAACTTCCACTCAAAATCCAACAGCGTATAACATTATCCTAGTATCATTGTAAAAGAATGGTTGCCAACTGAATAATGTAGATATAAAATCTTCCACAGAAAGTTTAGGTAAGTGCATACCTGGCTGCAGCTATACAAAGATTGCCCATCAAACGCCCAAGCTAATCCTGTAACCTGGTTGGTTCCCAGAAGCATAAAAAGCCAGCGGTAAGCAATATAAGATTTTGACCAATAAAAAGACACTTACTATCTGGCCATGCGCATCATATGTGCCAATCTTGTCAAAATTTTGGCTAGATATGTTGCATATCCACAATTCAAAAGAGCCAAATCCTTTTCCAACTGCTAAGTGAATTTTGTCTGGAGACTTGGTAGGCACAATGACTGAAAGTACAAAAACTGGGGCAGCATCGCTTGCAACCTATTTAAAAGTTCACAATAAAAGCATGCTCAACAACACAATAGAATATCGCGAAGAGCACTGTATACAAAAAGACATAAAAAGTAAGAACTACCTCCTTCAATAAGGAAAAAGAAGTGTGACTAGGTTCTGATGACTTCAGCAACTTTTCATTATTCCCTAGCCAGATCCTCACACTGGAAAGATAAGGAAGCACAAAATGAATACAAGAAATGATAGATAAAACTAACAAAAGACAAAACAAGAAGACAACAATCGAATCTCAAACAGATAATAAAGAAATTTTTGGGTAATCAGATAGCAGATTAATCAGAGTCGCAACTCTCGTAAATGAGTCAAGTGGTAGGACTTCTACTAGTATGTTGAAACAAGATACCAACTTGACAACTAAACTGACACTAAAATGCAAGTAGCATTTTGCTCAACACCGATTAAGGCACCTTGCTTCTACACTGCAAAAATTATTCTCTAACTAGACAAGAAATTTCATACAAGAGCTATAAGAGTGAAATTCATTATGATTTCCAGCATACCTAACTTACCTCCCATCAGTACTCGCTGTAGCCAACAAAACTTTAGGATTTGAAGAATCGGAATCAAGCAATGCCCAACCAATAGCTGTGATCCATGAATTGTGTGCCTGAAGCATCCCTATGAGCGCCACAGTTGCCGGGACCCTAATTTGATCAACAGAGTAGCATTCTGGTACAGGAATTCTCCATACAAAAACTTTCCCGGACTTCCCACCAACTGCAAGTAACGACATGGACGAACCATCTTGAGGAACTGAACAGATTTTGGATAGTGAATGCAGCATTGGCGACCAAGCAACTACAAGAGATGATAGCATTGCAGTGCGAGAAGCGTATTGATCCGCAGTTATAAGAGGGAGTGTGCTATTTTCTGGTATCTCCTTGGCAGGTTTTACTTTCGATTTTGAAGCACGAACAATCTTATTTGAACTCTTTTGTTTCGACGGGTCATAGTCAATCTCAGGCTCTATTTCATGCTCCTAATACGAGTACAGTCAGAAAGACTGTTGGTCAGCGCTCAGGGCATAAATCAATAGGACTGGACCTGACAGATGAGAGGACTTACATTTACATCTTGCAGTTTTGATGAAGAAGCCCATACCTCCCCAAAATTAATACTCGCAAGATAATCATAAAGCTTGGCAGATATATTCGCAACCTGAGCAATACGCATAACCAATTCAGAACTATAAAAGACTGCATCGTTATAACATCAACCAGTTTAAACCGCAGATACACGTGTACCTCTATCCATTCAGCACAAAAATCACAATATGGGGAGCAATAAAGCTTGACGAAACCTTGGGTGGTGCAGACAGCCAGCAAGCAGCCTGCGTTCGGAGCAAGCCCAACTGGGGACCAAGAAATCGATCGAACACAGGGTTCTTGATCCCGTGATAAAATGGTAGGCAGCATGTAATTAGAGAATAAATCTGAAAACCAATCAACAAAACAAGGAATAAAAACAGAAACACACATTGTATAACATGAAAAGATCGAAAATTTTGGTGTATGCAGCAATGTACCTTGTCTATCTATGACACCACTCGGAAAAGGTTGGCTGTTTTTTATGGTGATTAGGCCTCTTGGTCCAAAAGGCAGAGCAGCCGGATTCTGCAACACAAAAAGATATACACTTTGATCAAACAAAAACACAAACACTTGACTAAACAAAAACATTATGAAACATGAATCAGAGTTTCTGTTTTGAAATTACGAAAAGCGAAGTTAGAGTGAGAGGATTGGTGAATGGAGAGTACCAGAATGGTGACGAGGTGGCCGGAAGTTACAGCGATGAGGTTCTCGTCGGACCAAGCGATGGCGTCGGGGAAGGATGGAGCGCCGACGAGCACGGTGGCCTGGAAACGGGAGTCGGCATTTTGGGTTTGGATTTGGGAATTGGAGGGAAAGAAAGACATGGCCGTTGGGATCCGATTTCAATGTCGGATGACTTCAGTTCAGATCAGCAGATGACAGAACCCTAGTTCGAGTGTCAACGGAAACTATAACTGAGATTTATTAGTTTCACGTATTTATAATTTTTTTTTGTCGGTTACACCTCACATTTATCAAAACACTGCATAATTAATATTGCATAATTAATATTATAAATAAAAAGTAGAAATTTTTGAAAAGTTATATGAATTTGGGTAAATTACATAATTCCATCCTCATATTTGAAGTCTATTAAAATCTCATACAACATCTTTAACACATTTTACTTTTATACCTCAAGTACTATTTTATTTTAATATAATACATCCGTTACATTTTCCATCCATTAGTGGTTGCCAACGTGGCACACCAGTGGCCACAAAAAAAATTAATAAAAAATAAAAACCACCTGAATCTTCTTTAAAAAAAAAAAAAAAAATACAGAAACCCACCTCCCTCAACCCCACCCCTGCAAACAAACCCAGAAACCTTACCCCCCCCCCCCGACCCACCTCCCTCTCCTCCACTCTCTTCACCTCTCCTCCCATAAAAAAAACCTAGCAAACCCCCACCCCACAGCCTAATTGCACAAAACAAATAGTTTTCCTCATGATTAAATAAATGCTCTAATTTCATAAACAATTAAATTACCCCCAACAAAAAGATTGAAAGTTTAGGGCAAATAAGCAAAAGTGGAACTGCAAGTGCCGAATTTGGGAAGTTGAACCATTAATCCAACTAAAATTCGTTACTATCAAGGCAATTGAGTACAGAAAAAAGTTCAAAAGTTTATAGCAAGTAAGCGAGAGTGAAGGGTTAATTAGGGGAATTTGGGAAAGTGGGCGGCGGTACCTGAAAGTCTCCGCAGCAGAGGAGGAAGTCGATGGTGGTGCTGTGAAGCTTTTCCTAGTGTTGGAGGTAGACGTTGTCGAGGTCCCCGTGCTTGCAAACAGACGACAGTCGGAGGCTGGGGAAGATGGGTTTGGACGGGGAAGAAGGACGACGACGTCGCCTGGGAAGACGCATAGGGTGGATCTGAGAAGGTTCGGTCAGTAACGGTTGTCGGGAGGACGTGTAAGTGTGACTGGGTTTAAGTTGGCCGGAGAAGAGGTAGGTTCAACCAGAAGGCTACCAAGGAGCTCAAGAGGGGGAGGTGGGATGACGAGATCTGGGTTGGGTTTTTTTGTGAGGGGGGTTGCGGGCAGATGTAATGGATTTCGTTTTTTTTTTTTTTTTTTCTTTTGAGAAAATTCAGGTTTAAAAAAAAAATTGCAATCCCGTCAGCACTTAACAAATTAATTGATCAGATTAATGGATAAAAAATGTAACAGATGTATTATATTGAAATAAAATAGTACTTGAGGTATGAAAGTTAAATATTTTAAAAATATTGTATGAGGTTGTAATATACCTCAAACCTGAAAGGTATTATGCAATTTACCCTATGAATTTATATGCATTTATCAATTTGTCATATAAATTAATACTAGCAGTAGTGCTCGCGCAGTGCTGCAGCACTGTTTCTTGCTTTTCCAGTACATTGATATTTGAAGAAGCAAGAAGTTAGAATCAAAGATGTAGTCTCGAAAATATATATGCCAAGAAGTGATGTTTATATACATATATTACATCCATATGTTAACAAAGTGCTATTTGCATTCATATATTACATTACAAAAACTGGGGATGTTGGTATTGCCATCCTCAGGGAGTGTTTTTCAAAAGTTATGGCTCTATCTCATGAAGTATTTATGTTTATAACTACACAAAATTAAAAAGAATCCAGTTTTATTCCACTAAATACATCCAAATCCATAATTCCGTTAATGGCATCTCCTTTGTTTTGTATGACAACGTTGAACTGAAAATCAAAAGAAGGAAATTAAAAACAGAATTTGATTACTCATGAATTTAATCACACTAAATTGCATATGAAATGAATTGAATGAAAATATAAAGATGAAGGGAAAGTTGTCATAATTTAATTATGCAAGATTTCACTATGCTAGATTTCATTTGCAAGCACCAAAACCAATTCACAAAGTTGAGGTTAGATTTCATATTCTCCATGGGTATCGAAAGTCATGTGAAAAGTTCCAAAATAACCAAACCAACATCCAATTTAGTACACACCTAAGAAAAACATAAGCCAGAAATTATTTCCAACAACCCTCTTCAAACATAGTAATACAATCATAGAAAAACTCTCACTGATTTATCAAAATTGAATTAATTATATTGGATGTTGGGGTCAAAATTTTGTGTCCACCTAAGGATATTTGAGTCTAGCAATTTAACTCTACTCAATTTAGATTTTAAGTTTTTTTCTTCAGTCTTCAGATTTAGACTAAACATTTAACATTCTACAGTGTAGTTTCAATTTCAACTTTCACGCAATTTGTTATCTTCAAAACTTCTTGCCAATAGAAACTCTACATGCATGCATTCCTCATACCATGAACATCATCTATATCAATATATAATTTAGTATATACTTAATAGGAAACCAATTAGTCTTGATGTTCTTGACATGAAAAAAGTATCAATGTCGTATATGTACTCACGTCTTCACTGTGCATGCCACCTTTTGGAGTTCCATTTGGGATTGTGACATTTCAAGCATGAAAACTTTAGTAATCTTTAGTGACAGATTGTATACTGGATTTATCTTCTTTAGCATTTTGTTTGCAATTTGAATTACATGACTAAAAAATCTATTGTATTTTTTCAATTTTCAGCTTCTGAGTTCAGAGAGAAATTGGGGATGTGATTAATATTATATTGTGTCCATTTATGTAATATTCTAGCAAAATAAAATTGAACACAAATGTATCATAGAAAAAAAAAGGTGAAATATTCACCAATCACTATTTACAGCTTTGGTCCAAGAACTCAAATTTCAGAGATACAAAACAGAGAATCTAGTATGAATCATTTATAAAGGTTACCTCCTTTTGGTTGAAAAACTCCAGCGTGACGCCAACTCTTCTTCTGCTTCCACCTCCTTATGGGACTTGACCCATCAATCACATCTGTACGTGAACTTGAAATCAGCAACCATTGAGTACCTTTGTTAAGCTCATGGCAGTATGACAACAACGTGCATGGGAAGATTACTGCAACTCTAATAAACGAAGAAGAAGCATTTAGTTGAGGTTGTCGATAAGGGAGAGAAGAAGTAAAGAAGAGTTAGTTGAGGAAAAGAAGAATTTTGATGCTGTGTTCGGTTTGGAGGTATGGTCTTAACAATTTACAGACTGCCTATATGATTCCTCGCTTCAGTGTTTTCATTATTTATAGTTCTTTTTAACTACCTCTTCTTTCATGAAGGTATAATCGTTACATTATTTTCTAACATAAAATATACATCCAAGAGATGTTTAAAACAATCCTCATCTTTCAAGAAAGTGCCTGGAAATACAATAATCCCTTAAACAATCCTCATCTTTCGAAGTAATAAACTATGGTGAATTATTTTCCAACTTTGTATTCCTAAAAAAGTTTGGATTTAATGCAATATAAGCTTGGGAAGATTCATAAGACAAAAAATATTCAACATAAAAGTAGTGTTTTGAGTAAACATAATGAACCTATAATGTTTGTGGAGTCGTATTCTTACTTGTTGAATTTGAGATATCAATAATACCAACCATGTTAAAATAATAAATCAAGTGCAGGACATAAATACAATACTATATACAATAAAGACAAAAACATTCAAAACGATCGGAGCTTCACGGAATGCTAATGAAAATTAAAGCAGAAGGATCCTAAAATATAGTTTGAGACATATTTTTGGAATACTGAGATCACGCACCAACATAGTAGAGAATCTGGAAAAGTCAACGAATTCATAGGGAAGAGATAAATTTATAAAATAACTAATTAGGCTTTGAACAAATATTAGGGTGGACAATTGTATACCTCAAATTGTTAAGCAACCAATCTGAAAATTCCAAGCAAAGTGAATCCATTAGCAATTCTGAGTCTTTCAAATACTATCATATTTTTGCTGCAACTCATGGAAAAATTCTGGACATTTTAGGAGATGGGTTTTGCTGAAAGGTAATGATTTTTGTTGGGTTTTTCAGATCAGACTGAGAAATCTCAGTAAAATTAATGAAGGATGTGGATAAACCACAAACAAATAAAAATTGAGGATGCTTGATAAGATTTGAAATCAATTAGGTAAATGGCAGCCCTAGATTTTCGTCAGTTGCTCTGGTAGTGGAAAATAACATGCGAACTAATTCAAAAATTTCATGTTCGAGACTTTGTCGGTGCCCAAACGAAGAACTAATGAGAGAATCAAAGTAGAGAGTCACTATGTGTACCTGAATTGAGTTCAGATGCAAAATCCTTGAACCAACCTTCTGGTTGTTTATAAACACTTTGATGGGCACACAAATGCCACACAGAGTGTCAATGGTGATGCGACCACAACCCTAAAATGTCCTACAGAGATAAAAAGAAATCAACAAAATTTAGCCAACTCTAATTTCAACAGAGGAAAAAAAAAAACCTTAAAACAAACCCTAAACCACAAACACAAAATTAATGGGTTAAAGCAAGGAAATACATCTGTAAAGGAGTTTTTTTTCACTCTGAACCTTCACAACTGGATCTCCTGAACAGTAACGCGATGAGCTGAACGAACCCGGAAAAAATTGAGCCCCGGGTTTGAAAAAATTGATCCAAAGTGGTATCAACTTTGTAAAGGGTGCAGCCGCAACTGGAATCAGCGAGACCAAGACAAAAATCGAGAGGATGTCGCCGAAATAAAGGCTTGATCAATGATGGCTTCTATGGTCGGACAGGTACGAAGACAACCGGAATCTGTGAGAACCAAAAAGTAACAGAGAGAGAGAGAGCAAGTTCCAGAACGATAGAAAAGAGAACTGTGAGAGCAGTGGAAACAAATGGAAAACCCTTGAACATACAAACCGAAATAGAGGGTGGGTCGATGGTGAACGCGTGGATGGAAAGAGCAGAAGAGCCACTCGACTGTTCAAAGAAGGCAACAACAGGAAAACAGAGGAAAGAGCGAGGGGCAAATTCGTCCGCACACTATAGATCAATAGTAACCCAAAAACTTGGGTTTTAGTATATACTAGCAATTGTGCCACGGGCGTTGCCACGGGTTTTAAAAGTGAATGCATAAAATTTGCAGAAAGTTTTACAAACATGTATGTGTCTTCATCGTATTTACAGGAAGGAATAAACATATAGAAATAACAAATGGTACAGTTTTGTTCTAGTAATGGGGCAATTGTAAGAAACAATGTATTTGTAATTCAACGGTTAATTTCCACCGAAAAACTTCAGAACATTCAAACGAAGCAAATCACTTGTGCATCAGAGTTCCATGACAATTAGTTCTCTAAACTCAAAAACCACCTTCTGTTATCTAAGACTTTCCAGAGGAAGCTCATTCACGTGCTTACTTTTAGTACCTGGTACATCTACTGGGGAACGTCAACCCTTGAAATGGGTTTGATTAAATCTGGGGCGGACTGGACTGAATGTTATCAACTGTAACAGAGGGATAACCATTCCAGTATTTTTAACACTACGCTATGTTTCCTTCTGTTTCATGTCGTCGGATTGATGTTGCAACAACTTAACTTATTGAGGTGAGGATGGGAGAGAGGCGACACAAGGGATGGGAGAGAGGAGATTGGGAGAAACGGGAAAGGGTCCGCCCAAGCTCTCGGTTGTCAGGAAGGAATGTGAGATACAAGCATCTAGCCAGAGATTTCAAAGTAGAGCAAAAGGTTTTCATCCTAGAAGTGGAAGACAAGTCCTTGGGCGAAAGGATATGTTTAACTGAGAGGACTAGATTCAGAGGGTTTCAGATTTCTTTTGACTTGGGGTGTGCCTCTTGGCTCAGTGTTCAGATTAAAAAGGCGATCACAGCAAGTGCTCAGAGCTTTTTCAGACTGTATAGGGGTCTTAACTACCAGTTTTGGGTGGAAAGCTTCAACAACAAGAATGGGATCTTCCTTGTTCTGTCCAAATCAGAAAAGCAGGGGCTTGTAAGGAAGATTATCGTTCCCAAAGGAGTCAATTTTTTTGGGTGGAGGAAAATGAAGGAGTTTTTGTCCGAAATCTTGCAAGGAGGAAAGAAAGGGGGGGGTACCTCGGGTACCCTTGCGAGGAGGGAGGCACCCGAGCCCCCGAGGACCCATTCGTGTGTGGTTCCTCAGTTGTCATATAAAGATGCAGCTCTCGGAGGAATAAAGGCAACAAACCTGGTGCCGAATACAATCGCAGGTGAGAAAATTTGGATTGAGAAGAGACGGACCAAGAGTGAAAAATCCCCGGAAGCTTTTAATTGGGGAAGTGTAATTGTCTGTGAAAGACAAGTGGTGCATCAGCCTTGGAGAGAGGTGGAGGACTCAATTCTAAATATCGTGGGATGGAAAGCAAGCCTTGTGCCCTTCCAATGCAATAAGGCTTTGTTTGTTTGTAAGAATGAGGAGGAAGCAGCACAGATTGCCCAAATTGGCGTCCTTTCCATGATCGGACTCCCGGACGTGGTGCTGTCCGGATGGTGGGAAAGCATCAAACCAAGCGAGAGGAAGGTGGTCAGTTATGGAGGATGGATTGCTCTGGAAGGATTACCGCCGCATCTGTGGACAAGCGATTTCTTTCATGAGATCGGTGACGCTTGTGGTGGGCTGGTAGAAGTTGACAGGAAAACAGCTGATTTTGAATTCTTGCTTGAAGCTATGATAAGAATCAAACAAAACAATACTGGGTTTATTCCAGAGTTTGTGGAAGTGGCAGATGGAGATTTGGTCGTCAGGGTAAAAATTAGACAAATTTCGCCAGCAAGGAGACCTAAGGCTTCGGTAGCCGAGTACGGAGAATCTCGTCATCTGAAGATGTCTAGTCGTCATTTGAAGGCTGAACTGAAGACACAGAAGGCGAACGGAATATTGCCTCCGGCAATGGCGATTTCAAAACCGGGAAATCAATCTTGCCCTTTAGTTGAGTCACGTGCGTGCTTTCAGATTGGGGAGTTTAAATGTCCCATCATCATGGGCTCTGGCAGAAAGCAAGGCGTGCTGTCGGAAGAAAAGCTGACAGACGGTGGGTGGAGTAAGGAATTGGAAGTTTATGTCCGGGAAAAGCAAGGTGTCTCATCGTCTGATCGAGAGTTGCCAGAAGGAGGGAGCAACTCCCCAAGCGGAAATTTAATCTTGGTGGAAGGAGTGATTTCAAATGGAGGGGATTATTTTAATCTGTCAAAAGGAGTGTCTTCAACAGTGGGTGGGATTTCTAGTTGCCTGGAAAAGGATTTTTATATTCATGAGGAGGTTGCAAGTGGGTCTCCCACTCATCAGGGGGTTTTTAATATTAATTTCGAGGGGAAGGTGGGTTGCGGCCCTCTCAAAGCTTATGACGGACAGTCCCAAGTGGACTGTGGGCCTACCAGTGATCAGAAGAATTTCAATGTTATTGGTGGGGAAAATGATGGGTCAGGCCCACACAAAGTCTGTAACGGACAGATCCAAATTGGGGCTCTTCTTGGGAACCCCCAGAGACCTATAAAGTTAGAACTCTTTGGGCTAAACCTTCGGGCCCGTCACGGAAAAGAAGTAATGGTGATACCAAATTTTCAGTTTGTACATCTGTTTCACACTGTCCAGATGGCATCAGAAAGAAGCACCTTTCGGGCCCACGAGACGGGAATCGAAGCCACTATAATGTGCAGCAATCTGAAATTTACTGCGAAATTCGGAGACTTAGTCAATGCAGCGAAAAGGTTTAAAATTGTTCATCCAAAAGAGTTCGGATCGCGGCTGAACATCGTTGAGGAAGATACGCCAAAGAAAATCGGTGCTTCTAATCTTCAATCCCTAGATGACGATTCGGATCAGGACGAAGGGATGGAGGAGTTAATGGGTCACAATCCTCTCTGTGTAACATCAGCCGCACAAAGGATGGAACCGGTCATCAGCAATATTTCCTCAAGAAACTTATTTCCAACTCTGGATTTCGATAACCTTGTTGAGGAAGATGATTGGTCTCAGGTTTCGGAATCAGAAGTTGAGCTCGGGGATTCGTCCCAAGATGAAAAGGATAATTTCGATCCAATTGACAGTGGTGAAGGTATACTGAAGGACCTATTCTTCGATGGAGACAAGGAAGTGATTTCGGCAACTGAAGAGGAGGGTACCCAACGGGATTACAGACAAGATTTTGAGGTGGTCGAACAAAATCAAACCAAGGACAACGACGACAACAACAAGGTGCTTAAATATAGCAGAAGGAAAAGGTCCGGCCGAGTCTTTGACAAATGGGAGGCTACTGGACGATCTAGCGAATTTTTGTCAAACATGAAGATTTCGTTGCTGCCATTAAAAAAATCCTTATTCCTCGGTAAAAGATCAGGGGTGCGGGTGGGAAGAGGAGAGAAAAGGAAGAGCAAAAGGGGTTTGATAAATTTAAATGAAGATAATTAGCTGGAATATTAGAGGTTTGGGCAGCAGAAGGAAAATGGTGCTTTTGAAGGACTACTTCCGTCGAGCACGGGCTGATATCATCATTTTACAAGAAACAAAAACGGCCACAATTGATAGAAAGCTAGTGGCAAGTGTGTGGGGAAGCAGATTTAAAGAATGGGTTTTCGCCCCTGCACAAGGAAGTTCTGGGGGTATAGTTGTTATGTGGAACACTAAACATATCTCAGTTGTCGAGTCTCTAGTAGGAGGGTTCTTAGTTTCCATCAAAATCAGAGAGTTGAATGGTTTGGAATGGTGGCTCTCAGGGGTCTATGGCCCCTGCAAATATAGGGAGAGACAAGATTTCTGGGAAGAACTAGCTGGCCTGAATGGTCTTTGCAGTCCAAGATGGTGTGTGGGGGGGGATTTTAATGTGGTGAGGTTCGAAAACGAGAAGTCTAATGGGGGAAGGTCCACTGCAAGTATGAGGATTTTTAACCAGTTTATCCAGGACTGCGAACTCATTGACCCAGATTTACTCAACGCTCAGTTCACTTGGTCTAATTTCCGAGAAGAAACGGTTTGCCGAAGATTAGATAGATTCTTATTCTCTGGTGGTTGGGAGGAGTCGTTTCCTCATGCAAGGCAAAAGGCTCTGGCAAGGGTAACCTCTGATCACTGTCCAATCGAATTAGATACCAACAAGGTGACGTGGGGGCCAGGCCCTTTTAGGTTCGAGAATTCTTGGCTACAACATCCAGACTTTAGAAACAATCTCAAAGAGTGGTGGCTTTCTGCGATAGTCGAAGGTTGGGAGGGATACAAATTTTCCAGTAAGTTAAAAATTATTAAACAGAAGCTGCAATTTTGGAGCAAGGAGGTCTTCGGAGACACTGAGAAAAATCTTAAGGAAGCCCAGGCCAAATTAGAAGAAATTGACTTTAAAGAAGGAAGGGAAGGTCTGGACCCGGATTTAAAAAGAAAAAGGGAAGAGACCCGTTTCCTAGTGGAAGACCTGGCTTGGAAGGAAGAAGTAAAGTGGAGGCAGAGAAGCAAAGTGGTTTGGGCCAAAGACGGGGATGGCAACACTAGCTTTTTCCATAAGGTAGCAAATGGGAGAAGGAAGAGAAATTTTATAGAGAGATTGGAAGCGGAAGATGGTAGAATGGTAGAAGGGGTTGAGGAGATTGAAAATGAAATCATTCATTTTTTCAAGTCACTGTACAGTAGCAACGAAGAGGAGTGCTGGGGGCTGGATGGTATTAACTGGTGTCCAATTAATGCCATCGAGGCAGCATGGCTTGAACGGCCGTTCGAGGAAGCCGAAGTTAAAAAAGCCGTTTTCGACTGTGGGAATGATAAGTCCCCTGGTCCAGATGGCTTCTCTTTGCAAATGTTCCAAAGTTGTTGGGATATTTTAAAGGCGGATATCTTGAAGGTGTTGGAAGAATTCTTCGAAAATGGGATTATAAACACAGTAACAAATGAAACCTATATCTGCCTAATCCCGAAAAAGGCAGATTCTGTGCACGTGAGGGACTATAGGCCTATAAGCTTAGTTACCAGTCTTTACAAGGTAGTGGCGAAAGTCCTTGCTACAAGACTAAAGAATGTCATGGGCAGTACAATTTCCCCATCTCAAGGAGCTTTTGTTAAAGACAGACAAATTCTGGACGCTGTCCTTGTAGCAAACGAGGTGGTTGAAGAGGTGAGGCAGAAGAAGAAGGAGGGTTTGGTTCTTAAGATTGATTTCGAAAAAGCTTATGACCACGTCGATTGGAGATTCTTGGAAGAAGTATTACTGAGAAAGGGTTTCGGGTATAGATGGAGAAAATGGGTACTTGGTTGCATAAGCACGGCTAATTTCTCAGTTCTGATCAATGGGAGACCTAGGGGAAAATTCAAAGCTTCAAGAGGACTGAGACAAGGAGACCCTCTGTCTCCGTTCTTGTTCACCCTAGTGGTAGACGTGCTGAGCAGATTGATTGAGAAGGCTCAAGATAATCATTTGATCAAAGGGCTGCGTGTTGGGCAAGATAACGTGGAGATTTCTCATCTTCAATTTGCGGATGACACAATCTTTTTCTTGGAAGGCAATGAGGAGGCTTGGAACAATTTATTACATTTGTTGCAAATTTTTGGCAAGGTTTCAGGTTTGAAGATCAACAAGGCAAAGTGTTCCTTGGTGGGAATTAATTCTGATGGTGAGAAAATTACAAGGCTAGCAAGTTCTTGGGGCTGTGAGGTGGGCAGTTGGCCAATGAAATACCTGGGTCTTCCCCTCGGAGGCAAGCCAAATTCTATTAAGTTTTGGGACCCGGTGGTAGAGAAGGTGGAATTGAGACTTCAGGGTTGGAAGAAAGCTTTTTTATCTAGAGGAGGAAGATTAACATTGATCCAAGCTGTTCTTGGATCCTTACCCATATACTACATGTCCCTGTTCAAAGCCCCATGCGGGGTCATTGGGAGACTGGAAAAGCTAATGAAAGGATTCCTTTGGGAAGGGGTTGAGGAAGAAAAGAAGGTTCACTTGGTCAAGTGGGAAAAAGTGTGTAAAAGCAAGGAGGAAGGTGGCCTTGGTCTGGGAAATTTGAGAATTAGGAATGTCGCCTTATTAGCCAAGTGGCTGTGGAGATTCCCACGCGAATCTAACTCTCTTTGGCATAGGGTGATAAAGACCAAGTACGGTTTGGAGGCAAATGGCTGGGATGCTAAATGCCCAAGTCGAGGCTCGAGTAGATGTCCATGGACTGGAATCTCGGCTGGTTACCCTTCTTTTCTTCACTCTTGTATCTTCGAGGTTGGTAATGGAGAGAGGCTGAGATTTTGGGAGGACGGTTGGTTGGAGGGCGGACCTTTGAAGGAGCAATTCCCTAGATTATTCTCTTTATCAAGGACAAAAAACCAAAGTATTTCCAATTTGGTGGTTTCTTCTTTACAGCCGGTAAGTTGGAATTTAGAGTTTAGAAGAAACCTAAGAGAGTCCGAGATTGAAGAGGTGGCTGGTTTACTGCAGAAGGTGGAGTCTGTTCGGCTGCGTCATTCCAGAGAAGACAGGAGAAGATGGAATTTAGAAGGTTCTGGCCAGTTCACTTGCAAATCCTATAACTCTTTCCTTCGTAACAATGAAGTTGTGCAACATTTTCCCCCTTTCGTTTAGATATGGAAAGCAAAAGTGCCTCCAAAAGTCAAAATCCTTGTGTGGCTAGTGGCGCTTGGGAAGGTTAATACGTGTGATCAAGTCCAAAGACGAATGCCTTTTGTTTGTTTCTCCCCCCATTGGTGCGCATTGTGCAATTCCGGGGAGGAAAGCGTCAACCATGTTTTCCTCCACTGTCCGTATAGCATTCAACTTTGGTGGAAATTGCTCAACGAAGCTGGAATGAGATGGGTCACTCCAAAGGGCTGTTTTGAGCTCCTTAGCACTAAGTTCGAAGGCCTAGGGAAAGGGAGGAAAGCCAAAACTTTGTGGGGATCTCTGTTGATGGCCCTCTTCTGGAACATTTGGTTGGAGCGTAATAAAAGAGTCTTTGAGGAGTACAAGGGAGTGGGGGTTGAGGAGATTTGGGATAGAGTAAAACACTGGGCAGCCCTTTGGGCTTCGGTTTCAGTGGAGTTTAGAGATTACAATTTCTCTTCTATTTTTAGGGATATGTTAGCTGCCGTTATTTGACTTGGTCTAGCTTTTCCTCTGTTCTTTTAGTGTTCTTTAGGGGCCCCTGCTAGTTTTCTTTTAGCTCGGGGTGGTTTTCTTTTGCTTGTGGTTGTTGTTTCTCTTTTGTAATTCTTTCGTTTTATAAAATTCTTTCGTTTCTTTTCAAAAAAAGTAATTCAACGGTTAAAGTTGTGTTGTACGGTGTGAAAAAATGTTGATTCAAATGTGAGCTTGTGAAGGGTTGTTAAGTGTGTAAATTGACAGTTAACACGCAGGAAAGTGTTTAGGTATTTAATATTTAACCAAGGGAAGAAATAATATTGTCATTGTTTATAAGTTAAACAGCTGAGAAATAATTTTATCAAAGCAAATAAAAGATAGTGTTAGAATGGTGTACCTTCAAATGAATGATGATTGGAGGCGATGCTTTACAGAATAACGGGTTATGCTGTAAAATAACAGTAAGCATGAATAAATTCTTATGCATCAAATTGTTTTTAGAACTGAAAAGGTCAAGAATCAAAATCTGCATGAAAGTAATAAGAAATATAAATCTAAGCTAACAATATGCTTCCGTTCTCTTTTTCAGGAACCTCATATTTAGCGAATACTAATTGTATAATTACAGTCTTATCACAAATGTAATCATGTTGGTGTTTAATCGAAAGTCTTATATTGGTGCACCTTTGGAAAAGAAAAAAAAAAGAAACCTAAAACTAAAGCATTGTGTGATCAAATTGAATAATTATATTGTTAATTAACAGTCAATTTTGTATGAATTTTTTTTGTAAAAATAGAAGGAGACGGTATACAAAAATGGATCAAATACGTTTAGTTCGTTGTTCTATATAGTACACAGGTATAAGTTGCTAAGTTATTTCAACTTGCATAATTCGGACAAACGATCATCATTTCCATTTTTCCTTCTCAGAAGAATCAATTGTTACCAATTTGTAGGTAAAGACTTTCTTCTATTGGCTTAGTTGTAATACATGGCTAATGACTGTGCTGATCACTGAGGGGTTTAAGATGGATGTCTAAAAGTATAAACAAAGATGGTCTAACCAAAGATGTAATTGTTTCACATGCTTTAACTAAATGAAAGAAGACTTTAGAAACAGAGGAATTGTTAAATAGAGCCAATAACCAATAAAAATGATATATAGATAGATTTAACAATTTATCTATTACCAAATGTTTTTTTGTTGAATTAAGCCATGTGGACAGGGTATATTTGTAATGGGAACGTCTTGGCTAATATTTTTAGATATTGAAGTAAACTTCTCAGTGATCAGATAAGAGATTAGTCATGTATTCTAGAGTAAGTCAAAAGAAGATAGTCATTATTTATATTGGTAACAATCAATTCTCCTGAGAAAAAATGTTAGTATAGATTAAATGTAAAACTAAAATATTAAGTAAAAAAAGGGAATAAAGCTTGAATTGTTGGTACATACCGTTGAAGTCTTCAATTGTAATTTGGGATACAGGGTGGGGAAGGATGAATTATAAACGTTAAGTAAACGCAGGGATTTACACCTCAGTTGGATTTTCAGATTAATTTTCTTTTGGAAAAAGGTGAACCTACAAAATTAAATTAAATTTATGATTAAGAATAAATGAACATTGCATCTAGGAAACCGTTCTCTATCATTTCATATAACAAAGATGACAAATCAACGATGAACTCGCTAGAATATGAAATCAGATACAAATTCAAACATAATGAAAATTTTGAAAACCATGTGATGAAAAGATTTAAAATTTCTTAAACCTTTTGAGACTTACAATGTTGTTTGTAGCATTTTCATCCCTAATGGAGGTTACCGCAAAGGAATAGCACATAGCAAGTCCTATGGAAGCTCTTAGACAATCGGTAAAAGATCATTGGCTACAAATCTGAAAATAAAACAATTCAATCAAAGAAATAAATACATATAGATATGTTTGTTATACAGAACCTGTGAAAATGTGCAAGTTTCTATAACAGAACCAATGGGACGTGAACAGTTTATCAAATACGAAAATCAAATACCAATATTGTAATTTCACAATGGAAAACTTGAAAAGCAGAAATAGATGCTAGAACAACATCGTGACAGAATGAATATAGAAATGGATATATTATTTAATACGTTTTGTATTAAATAAATAAAAAACCAATTAAGACTGAATTAACCTGTGGTTTTCATACAAAATAAACGATGGCCTTTGTGTGATGCTTGCAAAGAATCTGTTTTTCATTCTGCATATACAAAAGGAAGACATTGATTATGTTTAGCAGTACAACAACAACAACAACAAAGCCTTTTCCCACTAAGTGGGGTCGGCTATATGAATCCTAGAACGCCATTGCGCTCGGTTTTGTGTCATGTCATCCGTTAGATCCAAGTACTCTAAGTCTTTTCTGATTATGTTTAGCAGTAATCAGAAAATTATAGATAAATAGCATTGTACATGTTATTCAATTATATTTAAATAAATATAAATTTTTTTACCTATGAGGTCATAAAGCGAAGCACGTAATTATAAATTTGTAAGACATCTTTAAATACCATATTCAAAGTATAATTGTCAACATTATTTCTCCGTTTGTTATTAAAAAATTTAAACCTTGTTTTGAAGTCACTCTAGACAATGGAATTACAAATTTAATAAATAAATAAATATAACAACTGATAAAAATGTGCATCTTCTTTGCTTTCATCCTTTTATCAACCAAAGAAATCATGAATTGGCCAAATAGAAAACAAATACAATAATTGAAATTGATGCCAAAACTGTATCTGCATATTTAATACTTAGATTATCACCAAATAGTTTTTCTCAATGAGTATTAAGACTGGTGTAAGAATAAAATTTACGCTAGATCAGTATTATCAACACTTATTCAGTGAACAGCAGACACTGAGTAGCCTTAATATTGTCTGAGTTTGTTTATCTCGTTATTAGTTTCAAAACAATTTAACATGGCATTAAAGAGGAATGAGTCAGCAATTAAACATTTTGTATGAAAAAAGTGTGAAAACAGAACAAAAAACAATAACAAATAACTAAAACCAATAATGAAAACAGTGTGTTTCAACACGACACACTATTGTACAAAGCCACAGCAAAAAAAAATGAACAATTATACCAACAGAATTTTAGAGAAGCCAAAGAAAGAAACAAAGAAAAAAAATACAAAATAAAATAAATAAATAAAATAAAATCCTACACTTTATAAAGCAAGATAGTAACTTTACCTCCCTCCAACAATAACAATTGATATTACAGCAGCTAGATTTGTTAGAAGGCAGCGATGATTTCACTGCCAAAAAAAACTGGAAAAAAAAACACAAAATTAGCAACAGGAACAACAAAAACCCAAAATCAAATAAGTCAAATTCAGTTTTTCATCATGATTGTGCAAAAAAGAAAATCATACATCACTAACACGCAAAAGCGATTCAGCAAACTGACTTCGGTCAGGTTCAAAAACTTTGGAAGCAAAAGGAGCCTAATGACCTGCAATACACTCCACTCAATTAAGAAAAGCTGGAATAGTTGTATCATTAACCAAACAGATATGATCTTTGCCATGCAAAACATATTTGATACATCTATTTAATAAATAAGAGTTAACAGTTTCTTGTCTGCATTATCTCTGGAATAATACCAAATTATCCAAAAATTAGAACCAAACAGAGTGTTTGTTATTGATCTACCATATAAAATATATGTATTGTTCTCCACCCATGTGAGAACGCTATTTGACAACGAAAGCAAACGAAATACCTCACCATTCAGAAAAATTGCCACCATCAATGTTCTTAATCCCCAATATAAAAAGTGCTAATTTTCACAATGGTAATTGAATCACATACCTTAATTCAGCATTACATCATTGTTTAATTTAACTAAACATATATGGTTGAATTCATAATTAAGCACTAATTAATCACTAAAGCTCTCAAACCTTTGTAAAAGCTTCAAATGATTTTAAACAATGTGCCTTTCAAAGCCTTTTGATTTCTGCATACTAATCTAAAGAAAGCTGTATTTAAGTATTTAAGCTTTTGAATTTTTGTAAAACCCTTAACTAATTTTGAATACTTTCCTTTACAAAGCTTTTTCCTCGCTCATTACTGACTCAAACCAATAACGAAGACAACTCCAAAAAATAAGTGGAAAGCACACTGAGTTTCTCTTCTTAAAAAACGATTAAAATCTGAAGTAACCACACACACCAATCAGAACAAATCGAGTCTCCCTTTTAAAAAACGATCAAGATCTGAAGCAACCACACACACCAATCAGAAGCAAAGCGAAAAAACATTACCAACTCAACTTATATCAGACTTTCTTCCAAACATATACAATTCTGGACCAAAAAATTACTCACATGGAAAACCAATTTATTAGAACCATCGTAAACACAACAGATAAAACCAATTTGGCAAGGCTCCTTTCAAATAAACACAAACTAAGAATCGAAAATTGCACATAGTTGTTTTAAATATAGCTAAGCTCAATATAATTTCTTTATCAATAATCTGAAGAGGTAGCACATGATTAGCCTTCAATTTGACAAAAAATTTGTCCCAACCTCCAGATCCGCAAAAAAAATAAAAAACATAAACAAAGAGCTTAAATTTCTTACCCTACAGATCAAAAAATAAAGATAAAACGTTGAAAACAAACTGACCTTCAAATTTTGATCCCAACGATGGCAAGATGAGAACAAAACGATGACCAACAAAGGGTTCGACAATGGAGAAGACCGGAAACAAAACAGCCAATAAAATCAAACAAAGGGTCCAACACCGGAGAAGACCGGAAACCAAATCCCCAATAAAATTAAAGTCAGGATCTCTTTTGAGACTATTTTGCGAAGAAAGAGCAAAGATTTGGCAGCAAAAGAGGGAGCGATGAAGGAGAAAATTGCAGAGCAACTGAGATGAAAATACGAAGAGAATGGGTAAAAGTAAAAACGATGCGGTCAAAGCAGAGAAAGAAACGATGAAAGACGCAGAAGGGCACAACCGACTTTCCACTGTAGAAAAGTGGAAACAGTAAGCAGAACAAAGAAGAAAACGAGGACATTTCCGTCGAAACACTGTTCACGAACAGTGAACAACACTACCGGGTAAACCGAGTTTTAGTATAGATAATAATAATAATATAATTTT